AAAAAAAAAAAAAAAAAAAAAACTACAACAGCAACAACATACATGCGTCATTCAACGATATATAAAACAAGTGAAAAGCTTAGTGATTTGGTAGATCACTTTCAGATCCTCAAATGTCATCTAAATAATTACCAAACAAATCAAATGAGCTTTTAGATTCTTTACCTCAGCTCTCTCTTGCAAGATTCTTGTTTGTTCATTTTGGGACAAACATGTATTACATAGTATAATGACTGCATGCATTATTATACATAACATGATACTCAAGGATGGACGTGATCTTAATACACTAGTTCGAAATTGGATGGAAGCGCCTACTCCAAAAGTTGAGTTGGTCGAAGACAATAATCAACATTTTTAAGAATTCCTTACTCATCATAGACAAATAAAAGATAAAAAGATACTCACATTACACTTCGAAATTGATTAATTAAACATTTGTGGTGTACTACGTTGTTTTTAATAACATGCTTTAATATTTTTTTAGTTGTGGTATTTTTATTAATTGTACTACATTTTTAAAATTTATTAAATAATTTAATATTTTCGTAAATGAAATGTAAATATGTATGTAATAATTATGTAGTAGTAAATTAAATAAATAAATAGATTTTCAGCTATGTAAATTGTTAAAAAAATAAAAATAAAAATGAAGAAAGTGATTAAATCTATTCATTTGGTACAAATTTTGATGTAATGGGCTGAAGATGATTTTTAATTTGGTGCAAAATTGTGCATTGACCAATAAATACATGACTGGAGAGTATGTTTTGTACATTGTACAGACTCAACCTCACTCAAAGAGAAATAAAGTGGAAAGATAGCCCATCGGGGCATAATCCAGTAGTGCAAAGAATATGGGTGAGGTAGTCTCAACCTTATTGACAACTGTAGTGTGAGAGTTCGATTCCTGAGATATGAAATTGGACTCTTTGTGGACACCAGTATACAGGCAATGTTTTGTTTCCTAGTCTGTTGAGGCACATTCCGCGATTTACCTCCCTCACGATACTCCGAGTGCGAGACGGTGAGTACTATCAATATTGAGATTCAACCTTTTTAATAAAGTTAAAGATTTTTAAGTGCTTATGAAGCAACTGAAGACAGTGATGGATTGCCGTTTAGAAACAAATGATCAATGCTATCCTTAACGTGTAAATTAGGGAATTCATTGAATGACCAGAATGGTGAATTGGACTGTCAGTGGATATAATTTAAGTACTTTTTTCTTTCTTTCAGTAAATTTTTCTTATGAGGAGTGAGTATGGCAGAAATTGGCTTAATTTATCTGGATAGGATTGGACAGGTCGATTACCCAAAAAATTGGTGAAATGTTTGTCAATTTGGTGCAGATCTCTCTATTAGACTAGTCCCAGCCTAGCGAAAGAATCGGGAAAACTCCTGAAAACCTGCCAGGTTTTTGTATTAAAAAAAAAAAAGGACGACATTGGCGTATGCATGGGCAAAAAGAGAGGAAAATCTATGACTACGTGCAGTTTGAACAATACATATTAGGTTTCACATTACGATCTTTACCCTAAATTACGCCCGTTTGTCGTCCATTAAATTTATTTTTTTTCTTCTATTTTCAACTGCACAATTTTTCATAAAATAATGTTAAACGTAAATCAAAAATTTATTCTTATTTTTCTACCATTCATTTTTCAAAAAATATTATTCTATCCATTAAAAATTAAAATAATGGGAGCATACGTATCAACCTTTTTCTTCTCCTCTCAAATCTTACTTCTGAAATTTAAGAAATCAAATTCTTATTGCTGGCTTCAACTTCAATAGAAATGGATCTATTGTTCTAGTAGGCTTCAGCATCAAAGGAAATTTCACCATAGGCCTCCAACCTGTTTCTCCAATAGCAATTGGTCCTAAACTTTTAAAAAATAACACATTAATCTTAAAACTTTGATTACAATTGCACAATGAACTCAAGTGATGAAAACGGCTCAAATTTTTGTTAAATTTTTTGTGACTCTCAAAAATATATTTACTTCAAATTTTGTGGTACCAACCAAGTTAGTTAGCAAATACATTGAGAATTCATTGTGTTAGTTTGGGGAATGCATGTGACAAACTTGTAAATTTTGAAACTAAATTGAAGTTAAATGATTTCATAGTTTGGAACGCTAAAGGAGATAATTGGTGAAATTTGAAATAAAATTGAAGTTCAGTGATGCAATTGACACAAATTAAAATTTAATAATCCATTTGAAATTTGGCTAAAGGATTAGTGTCTATAGAAGAAATTTATCCCAAAGTCGTCGTTTCACGAAGTTAGAAATTCAAGGCCCTTGTGTGAAGTTAACAAAGATTTAAACAGTTTCGATCATAAAGGACCAATTGTCATCTTAATATGATTTAGGTTGAACTATTGTTACTCCTCGCCGCTAAACCTCCATTCCAAGCATACGTGGCAATTAGTGAAGGCATCACTCAAGGGAAAACTCAAAGGTTGACCAGAGTCAAACGACAGAAGTCCACTCTATTGCCAAAGTCCTCTACAAACAAGGCCCTCCATTTTGATCTTCCTCTCCCAAAGAGCCTCAGATTAGAAGCAGTTCCCAAATAGATCATAGTATCTAGTAAATGATTGATGTGATCACCTGCAATCCAATTAAGTCAAATCTTGTCAGTCCAATTAATTATGTACAATGACACACTTTAAAGGGCAACTTCTCTTTCCCACACACTCGAGTGCACTAAATGGAAAGTGCAATCGAATAGCACAATAGGACTTCCCAAATGGTCGGATACATATGCTTCATCCAACTATTAAGATCAATGTTGTACCACTATAAATATCAACCATTGTAACACTTTGAATCTAATGCAACTTTTTATACTAAAAGCTATACTTTGCCTTATCTCTTATCAATATTCTTGCTCGCTTAAGTCTAGTTATTACAGTTTTAATTGGGTTGTGTGTGCTTGATCTCTAATCCCTTGAGTTTACCTTTGGAGTTCGAATATTCTTGTCTCGTATCTTAGACCATCTTCCATATTCACACACGGTTACTCCTTTATACCCCATTTTCGATCAAAACATGTTGAAATTTGCTCATGGTGACGTGAGTAGACCAAACTCTGTTGTCCAAGTCATCCCTGCAAAAAATTAGGTCAACAGATTGGCATTGTCCATAAAAAATCACGCATACAACTTGCTATCAATTTTACCAACAACAGTGGCAAGATGGGCTAAGAGCCAGGTCCAGATTAGCTGCTAGACTCACCAGGGAGGTGGTTACAATGCCTACAAACATGAGAGACTAATTCCAACAGAACATTACCATGCAAGAACTGCTTAGGAACATGTAGAGCCAGGAACGATATCCAATTCTCCTATATACGGCCCAAACAAATGCTTTTCTACACGTTCTTCTTTTCATTCCTCAGGGAGGCTACTATCATGATGAGAAGGAAGTTCAAACCCAAATAGTTGATTACCAACATTATGCAAGGGAATAAGTTCCCTAGGCGAGGGACGTTGGGATCGATGCTTTCTTCAGTTGCATTATTAATCAGCCCAATGGGGTTTCGTTCAACTATTCTCCCGATTATGAACTGAAGAACATGCCTTAGAGATCCATAAGTGTCTTTGACAAGTTGATCCTTGGGAGGCCTAGAAATAGTCATGCTCAATCTTTTCCAACACCTAGAAATAAGCAGCCGGGACAGCCTCAATCCGAAAGACCAAATGAAAATACCTAAGGCAACTTGCCTAACAATTCTCCACCTAGAAATATGCATCAAAAAAGGACGAAACAAGCCAAAAATCAAGTGGGCCCATCCCAATCACCTACAGGACATTTATTTAAAGAGAATATGAGGATTTCTACAAATCGCAAAGGTCAGGGAACCTTAATGATGATGACGACAACTTGCCATTCTCTCAAGGTCTAAGGGATGTTCCCATTGAAGATACTTCATGCCTCCTAAAATCCCCAAGTATGATGGAAAGGTTGATCCTGCGAAGCATCTCAACAGTTTTGAAAACTCATATAAGCTTAAGAGGCTCATTTCCTATTGTAAAATGTAAAGCCTTTCGCCTAACCTTGAGCAAAGTGGCCGAAGTAAGTGCACCAGAATTCTTGAAAAAAGTATTAGAAATTAGCCAGATCTCAAGAAGGCTTTCCTTAAATACTTCGTCATCTAGTAAAGAAGAAGAAGGGCTCATACAATCCCTTCAGGACATGAGAATCATTAAAAAACTTCTTATCTCATTTCATTGATCAAATGACTTACTGTGTACAAGT